CCATTGGGCTCATTCTGCCACTATTCTGCTGCCTCTGAAGATGTTCTTTGTAGCAAACAGAACACATTCCATTTGTCCTAGGATTTCCATAAAAGCCACATCCTGTACTACACAGCATGGGCCCTGGGGTCTGGTTAGTCTCCTGAGCCATATTTTTCTGCTATAAATAAAACAAAACAACAAAATTTTAGTAAGCCATGTCACCAAAATAAATTAGCAGAATACAATAATTAGCATACCTGTTATTTCTAAAATACTAATCTATTACTAACAAAACCCCAAATTGTGTTCCAGACTGAGCAATTAGGAATATTTCGTTGCCTTTATAAAACAAAGAGCATTAAAGGAACTGTTTTAGAACCAAAAGGAAATTCTACCGTTAAGTACCAAAATTTATTATTTTACCTGTTAACTATTCTTTGCTTCAATTCACAGTCTGCCTGCCTGCTGGATACCAGGGTTGTTTTAATCAACAGTAGAAATTGGTATTGGGACTTTCTGCTCCCTACCACTACAAGTGAACCATCCCAAATGATGTCCTTTAACTTTGTTAGCTAAAAATATTAGAGGGAACTTCCAAATATGGTAGGGGAAAACCCCAATCATAACTAATCACTATTTCTGTATTTATTAGTGGTTCTTTTAACTAGCTGAATATTGATTTCATCTTAAAATTACATCTGCACATATTCTGGTGCCATCAGTAATCTGACAATTCTGTGAGACAGGAATATGATTTGCTTAAAGCACCTTTTAGCAACATTTATTAACCATAAATTTCTGAACCAAAGCCTTTTCTAATAACATTTGTCATCCTTACACACAAAAACCTTTCCATGCTCAAATTCAATATATAAAGCAATATAAATGCATAATATTTAGTTGATGGTTAGTATTTAATGCTCATTTACCACAGTGAACTTTAAATAGCAAGCATACCCTTCACTTTTCTAGAAGTCTTGTTAGAATTAACATAAACATAGTAATGTGTTAAATTTAATAAGCTTTCCTCTGGTAAGAGAAAATACTGTTTAATTTTTTTAAAAAAATTGTGTAAAAGCATTATTTGAGAGCATCTGATTAAGGGAAATATGCTCTAGCTTGTGGTGGTCACTCATTTTTCTAACTAAAACAAAATATATTCTAGTGAGTTAAAACGTTTTTAAGTACTTTTTGTCAAAATTACAAAAATAAAGGGAATAATTTTGTTAAATATTCTTTTTGCCCTATTTCGGCCAGTGCATTATAATTATACATAATAGTGAAATTCTCTGTTACATATTTGTACATGGACATGACAACAATATAATTTAGTCAATATCATTCCCCAACATTTTCCCTTTCCCTGCCTTTCTTTCCCTAGTCCCTTTCCTCAACTTAGTTACTGGCCTCCCTTTGATTTTTATGAGATACCCTCCCCACCATTTCCTTTTCCCTCTCTAGTGAAAAACAATTTTGACTTGGCCAGAATCCTTACAATTATTCCCCAAACATTTAAAAGATAGCAACCTTTCCTTATTAGCAAAAGGACTCCATATTTCAAGCAAATCAAGCTTATATGGAGAATGACCAAGATCCACAACTTGCTTAAAACAATCATTAATTTAGTTGACAGTGTCTCTTTAAATAGTAAGTAGAATTTAGCTGACTCATTTTAGAGCAGGGTAAACATTTCAACATCACTTAAAGTTTAATAAACATTTTTAGTTGACTTTTTCAATGTTAAAATATCAAGAGCAAAAAAATTATTCATTTAATGAATTATGTATTTTCATTCCTATCATGCACAAGTAAACTGCCATTTGAAAAAAGTTGGGCCATTCCCTGAAGCCGGGTTTGGAACTATGCTAATTCACTTTCTGTCCTAGCTTCCAGTGTCATTTGGCATAGGCTTTAAAAGCACTGTCCTCAATTTAAGCCCAACCAATTAAACCACATGAAATGATTTTAATATGAATAAAATACTTGTTTATATGGGATTTCCCACCTAATAACAACCCATTCTGACAAAGTATTTCACCTTTCCTCTTCCTCAAAATCATCTACCTTCAATTCACTGAAAATAAATTTTGAACTCAGTCACAGAAACAATAGGATGTTAATTATTTCCAGGGCTTCCCATCTTTAGGTTTTTCCCTCTAGAAAGCCAGCTTTTAAATGCCATCACATGTGCACAGCTTGCCTTAATATTTCTCAGCAGCTTAGATCACATGGGAGGGCGCTTCAGCCTGTCACAAGGCTGCAATGTGACAGGCTGAGCTGGATGGAGGCTCTCACATAAAGCCTAGTCAACAGGGGCCTCTGAAATCAGCTTCTATTTATATCTCAGAGCCTGACAACTCCTACACAACCTCAAGAACTAAAGATGCAACATTCATATATAAAAAATAAGAAAAACAAAATATGATTAAGGCTGCCAGTTTTTTCTAATAGGGAAGATTAGAGAACAATCTCAAATCCAATCTAGAAGAGCCAAGCATCATTAATCACTCACAAAGCCCCAAATGGTCAGGACTGCTTACAAAAAAACAAGCACAGTGAAAAAGGAATAGAGGCATAAAGAATTCTTATGTTTAGAGGAAACCATTTGAGCAGGGGGTGAGTGTTCACTATTAGCATTTCCTTTCTGTCTTTAAAAAATATATATCATTACTATTTACCACCTTTAAAGTTGTTAGAAACTTCTGCATTCATGGGTCATTCCTATCAAACATAGAGGAAATGCATATTTTCTGTAAAGTTTGTAGCTTTTCAAATTCATAGTCTAAAAAAAACCTGCTGTGTAACTAAAATATTCTCCAATCCAAAATCCGAATAAAGGGCATTTACACCTCTGAGATATAGTTGTTTCAGATACATATGGTGTTTTAAGACGTCAAAACTCACCTGGAGTTGAAATCTGAGTTCTAGTACCTAATCTACCAGTAAGCCAGTGACCTTGGACAAGTCCTTACTCTTCAGATCTGAATTACTTCTGCTAAGAGTAGCTTGATTAAACTTAATGTTAGGCCTGAGACAAAAATAGTGAACTACAACCAATCCTTCATTTTGGGGACATTTTAATAAAAAAACTCAAAAAATAAAATTGCAACATTTTCATCAAACGGAGTCCCCAAATCTGACTTTAAAAAAAAGAAAACCTTAGAAATGAGAAGCAAAATGAAATTTATTTAGATTTTTGTAAGTTTGTAAATGATTTGAAGCCCAAATGTTTAAACAAGGCTGTGACCTATATACTACTTTATCTTAAATATCTCCTCGGGCAATAATTCTTGGGATGGATTCAATCAATAAAGGTATCCCGACCCATACCTCAAATCACAGATACATGAAGTGCATGGAAAGCCAGCCCCAAATTTCGTGTTCACCAGCTTAAATGCATGAAACAAAGAGAAAGGTGCTCCACTTCCTCCATGAAAAGAATCTTGGAGGAGAAAACGCAGCGACGTTGGGAAAAACTAAAATACCACGAAGAGCTCCCTAGACTCCATGCTCCAGCGGATTTAGAGCAAGTTTGGGTCGCACTGGCCCCCCCATCCCCCTCTAAGGGAAGGCCTCACTCAGGAAAGCCCAACAGGGCCTTCTCCCAAAACCACTGAGTCATGCAGAACAGCAGCTCTGCAGGCCCTGCCGGCCCCTCTCCCCGCCTGGCTCGCGC